GTGATTAAAAGTTCAGTTCTACTCCTGATACAGTGTGTCGTCCAGTGATTGGGGAAAGTGATGGGATATTATTGGAGTGTATTGTGGATTGTGCTGGACATTCTCTTGGATTGACTACTTGTTCCTGCATCCTCTTAAAGTACTTGGTGGAGTTAAGCTGTGAGAAATCAGCTCTCCGCTACAACTGGCTTGTGTGGTCGCACATATGAGATAAACAGGGGGCCCATAGGGGTACGTAGAGGTGATGTAGAGGCGACGTAGTGTTGGAATACTGTGGTCAGAATCACTAGAGAATTTTGATACATAAGTTTATTATTCCTGAAAAAATCCTTATCTACGGTATATTGAGGGAAATCCACCTTTTTGGTTGATTTGTTCTGAGCTATGCATATCTAGCTGATGCCCCTACCATCAAGTCACAAATTTCACTGATATCTTGTGCCTGGTATAAAAGTTGTACATTTCAGTGTACAAATTAATATATTGTATATTGGATTAGATATTTAGGATTAAAATGTATTACTTTGTATAGCTTTTTTTTATTGAGGAACTTTCACTTTTCAATTACTAGCATAATCTAATAGCTATAATTTAGTCATTAGCAGTGCTTTTTTTTAATGACTATCTTTAATATTTGCTCTTTGATTTGCAGAATTAGCACACTGTTCTGGCATAGCTTGGTGTTCATTGCAAATTAATAATTTCTCACGCATACCTAACATCATGAAAGATGGCTTTTCACTCAATACTAAAATTGTGGTGTATGTGACAACTGCACAATTTAACTTGGTAAATACTCCGTAATTTTCAATGGATTCAGTATGTTATTTTTATTTATTTAAAGGAACACTATAGGGTCAGGAACACAAATATGTATTCCTGCCCTTATAGAGTTAAAACCACTATATAGGTGGCTTGTCCCCCTTAACCATTTAGGAAAAGTTAAAACTAACCTTTTTTCCAGTGCTGCAGGGGTCTGTCGGCTTGCCCCTACGCCCGATCCACTTTTTTGGCTGACATCATCAGAATTGATGATCTCAACCAATCCAATGAATTGGCTGAGGTCGCCAAGGAGTTGGGGTGTGGATGGGGCCAAACGCCGTCCAGGCCAATCAGCATTTCCTCATACAGATGAATTGAATCAATGCATCTCTATGAGAAGATGCTGATTGGCCATGGCAAAGTTAAGTGTCTCCATGCCGAGTGTAAAGACACCGAATGTTAGTGCTGTACACTGTGCAGCACTGCCCCAGGAAGCACCTCCAGTGCCCCTCTGAGGAGTGGCCACTGGAGGTGTCCCTACGCTTTAATGTAAACACTGACTTTTCTCTGAAAAGACAATATTTACATGAAAATGCCTACAGGGACTGTATATACTTACCAGAACAAATAAAATGAGCTGTAGTTGTCTGTGGTGACTATAGTGTCCCTTTAACAGTTTCTTCTATAGGGCTCTTAACCACAGAGTTTCATTACATTGTAACAACTGAATAGCTATGTATTTGGGATGAAGAGGGGCAGTGTAATGATATTGATGTTACAAAGTTTTGGAGTCCAGTAGCCAGATCAGCAATGTTTTCTGCCAGAGGTAGCCACTCGTTACCCAGGTGGTTGAGCCCCTGAGCCTTGAGTGGCCTTCTGGTCTTAAGCAGAGATGGGAGACTGAACAGAAAGATGATAATCGTAGTGAGGCAAGCCGAGGTCAGTGGGAAGGAGAAGCAGCAAAGTCAAAACAGTCCAAATCCAGCAACAGGAAGGAGAAACAGGAACACGCTTGATTAGAGAGTACAGGAACCACAATAATCTGGCAAAGGTACAGAGACAGGAAGTGGCTTTTATAGGCCAAGAACCAGACACCTGACCAGACACAGGTGAAGTGAGTTGTCACTGATAACCTTGACTCTACAAGCAATAGTATCAGATCTCAGGTAAATTTGCAAAAGGCAGGCTGGTGTACTGGTAAGGAAAAGGTTTAGCACCATGTAAACCAGGGTTTGAAACCCAGCAGAGTCAGTTCCTCACATTACCTCCACCTCTACAGGCGCAGCCTCTGGATGCTCTATTTCCTGGTTTAGCAGGGTACTGTGCATGGAAAGACTGAAGAAGATCAGGAGCATGAATATTGTCCACTGGTTCCTATGATCTATCCTCCTCACCATAGCCTTTCCAATGAACCAAGTATTGAAGCTTGTTGCGGAAGATCCTGGAGTCAAGAATTTTTTCCACCTCGTATTCATCTTCACCATCCACGAGGACTGGTGGTGGGGCAGGCAAGGCTCGACCAGGGAAAGTATTTTCATGAAAAGGTTTAAGCAGTGCCACGTGAAATACCGGATGTATTTTCATGGAATCCGGAAGTTGCAGACGGAAGGTGACTGCATTGATCTGAGCGATTATCTTAAAAGGTCCCATGAACTTTTGACCCAATTTATGAGAAGGAACCCTAAGCTTAAGATTCTTTGTTGACAGCCAAACCTTGTCACCAACATGATAAACTGGGGCCTCCTTTCTGTGCCTATCAGCAGCTCTTTTGTAACATTCCTGAGCCTCCGAAAGAGTCTCCTTCAACAGTTCTTGTGAATCTCGTAAGGCGGTTAGCCGGTCAGTGACTGCAGGAATGGGAGTAGTAATTGGGAGACTCACTAGAAAGGTTGGATGGTAACCATAATTGGCAAAAAATGGGCTCAGAGAAGTGGAGCTGTGTTGGTCATTGTTATAGGCAAACTCCGCCGTGGGTAGAAAATCCAGCCAGTCATCCTGCAGGTAACTAATATAGCACCGCAAATATTGTTCTAAAGTCTGGTTG